CGAACTACAAAGAAAGGTTATAAAGGACTGAAAATAATGTGTCGAACTACAAAGAAAGGTTATAAAGGACTGAAAATAATGTGTCGAACTACAAAGAAAGGTTATAAAGGACTGAAAATAATGTGTTGAAGTACCAAGAAAGGTTATATAGGATTGAAAATAATGTGTTGAACTACAAAGAAAGGTTATATACGACAGATATAAATTTAGTTTTAATGAGCAGCATTAGAGATAACTCCTTTTATCTGGAAAAAATAAAGAAAAGAAATAACATGTGACATCTGTTTATAGATTGCACTATAGAAATAATAATAATAATAACTGTTCATATATGTCACACTATAACTTCAATACAAGCTCATGTCACCACTAAGCAACACTACATATTATTTTTACCTGCATATCCCAAAATGTCTGAGCATTAAAAAACATAATTAATGAAAATTTGAAATACTTGTAGAACAGTGTGGATCAAACCTAATACATGCTCGCTAATGCGATCTATAACAGATCCAACGTGGACTAGTGGTTAGCGGGTTGGACCATGGTTCCGTGCTTCCTGTGCTCGAGACGTGATGCCATTGAACAGGCTCCGATGACATAAAGAATAAGATTATAAGTTTGCTATACACATATTTGTGCTAATGACCTAATTTGTGTGATGTACAAATGTGTGTTAATTTTTTACATGTGCATGTATTGTCATACCTATGGAATAGAAATAAATTTAAAAAGCACACATTTCTTTGTACCATTTATTTAATATTTTACAGTATACATAAAAACACTGCTTACATAGGCCTACATGTAACAAAAATGCCTTTAAATGCATACACCAAACAAAATGGGAGGCCTAAAATTCAGAAAGTTAGTACGGTAAATATGGAATCCAGCTCTGCGTGGCTTATTTTTGACATTAAGGGCACCTTTCTATAGAAGACATTTGGACGCAGTCGTAAGGGTGCCCTTAATGTCGAGGTTTTACTGTAGCTGTTAACACAGGCCGTGTAAGATTTGTTCCAGCAACAAGTTCACCATCTGAAGTCCTTTTGAAACAGAAATAAATGATACTATTTCAGCTGGTATATAGATATTCTTTAAATTAACTTAAGCTTAACGAAGTCGCCACTGGATATGGCAGATATAGTGTGATTTATATATTTTTCTTTGCTTTCACTCGTAAGTTTTTAGAATTACTAAATATGAATTGTAAGGAAAACTGCCTTAACCCTAAAATTACTGATGAGAGGGTCTCATGTGGACTTCCACTGTCTTTTGTTAAACACATTTTTCTAAATTAACTACGCATCAAAGTGCTGTTATGTGGGTCCTTAACTTTGTTGATTACATAGACCCTAACAACGCACGAATCACACAAAATAATAAAAATAAAAAACAAAACACAGTTAGTATTGCAGTTAGCTGGACATGGTCTAGTGGTTAGCATGCCAGCTTTAACATGATGAAAAGCTTACAAGCTAGGGTTTACTTACCGATTACTTGAATTGAATATACCGACTTTCAAAGAAACGAAGAACTATCAAGTAGCAAAACTTGTCTATGTCAATCTAATTTCTTCACTGTATTTTTAGTGGGGCCGTGAATACTACCTTATTAAAACTAATGCCCTTTTATGTAATAATATTAGGTGATGACTGAAATGCCTATGAATGGAAAAGAAAGATAAAAGTAAGTAGGTTATTTTGGTTTTTGAGAACTTTACTAAAACGTAGAGAAAACTTATAATTAACTGAAGCACGGCGCAGGTGACGTCATTGTTTATATGTAAACCACCAGGAATTAATTGATTCCAGCCACTTCAAGGGATTATATAAAACAATCCTTCAACGCATGCACAACCATAGTCGAAGTTCGGGAATAAGCATAGAAAGACGGTCCTACTTCCACTGTATAACCCATCACATTCAAAAGTATATTCAAACGTCTGAGAAGAAAGTATATGATAATCCCCGTTGCAACCGAGTGACCAATGATATATTACTGAACGTGAAAAGAAGGGAAAAATGTATAAGAATATTAGTTTCGGCTTGACATGCTAAAAATAACATAAAACACATCACTTTTGCTGAGATTGTCTGAAACCACGAAAGAAGCCCATACTAGGTAAATGACATCATATAGTTTTTTTCCGAATACCTACAGATCTCAGATGTTTATCCTAGAGGAGTTACTGGCATGAATATTTGAAATATGGTGTAGTTCGTTTTTGAATTTCACCTTGCATTGTTAATCGAATAATCTCTACTACTCTCATATACTAGTTTATTATATGGAAATTATTAAGTAATAAAAAGTAAGTAGAAATATATATATATATAATAGATTTATTCTGAATAGTATCAGAGTAACTAAAAAATAGCTGATACTGTTACGAATTATCGATTTTTTGAATACTAGCTTTCAAGAAAATTTAATTTTTGTAGATTATTAGCCAGTAGCGCATTGCCCGCAAAAATATATGGAAGGTAACTGTATGCAATTTTCCATACATTGTTTTTAACGTACATTTATATGTGCTTGTTACCTTTCATATAAATCAGTGCAGGCAATCATGAAAATCCCTTGATCTCCCGTTAGAGGGCCGTATATGACAATCAGAACAGTCTGAATTTAACAATACACATAAACACCATTTACTTATTTATATTTTATAAAACTGTAATGTTTTCTCAGCTTATCAATTACATTACTTGGGTGGGATAAAAGGATTTATTTACATTAATTATTAGAACAAAAACACAAAATCTGTTCACTGTCACTGGTGCTTGGGTTTTCTGCTGAGAACTATTTATCTGTTTTATTATGATTAATATTAATGCTAATAATAACATGAGGAGATGTTTTGGTTTTTGCAGTCTTTCTATCACCTGCTCTGTCTATTTTAAGGAAGGGACGGCAGGTAAAATTTCCATAATGAACAAGACTCTTTAATCCAGTACTACCGTCTATACTTATTTTCAACAATCCATGCTAGTTTTCACTTAAGTCAATCCTGAGAACCCCCAAAATGCGCTTAATTAACCCCGATATAACGGTTGCATTATAAAAATTTCAAAATCTAAATATAAACAATTATTTTGAATTAAGTCTTACATATGCACGCCAATTTTCATGGAAATCCGTCGATGGAGTTCTGAGAACTCACAAAAGCCCTTTGACTTCGAAATGGCTCAAACTAGAATTTTCTGAAATCTGAATTTGTGTTATTGTTTTGAATGTTTTTTTTTCTTTCTTTCTTTTACATGTTATTATCAATTTTTACTTAAATCTTAAATCAGTTCAATCAAGGCTGAGAGTACCAAGGAATCCCTTGATCTCCATTCGAAAAAGAAAAATGTTAATCGTTCGTATCATGTGGGGGCCAAAAGCCTACATGCAAAATTTAAAGTTATTTGTCAAAAACTGTGGACGAAATACAAAAGTCGAGTGAACATTTAAATAAGAATTTCTAAGTACATTTATTTTAACATTGTTTGTTAAAATTTTTAATGTATAAAGTGATTATGCACTTTACTAAATTTCAATTGATTTTATAAGTGTGTATTTTAATTTTTCCTGCTCACCAGACAAAAACTTTCCTTTGAGAAGTTTTTAATGTTACCTGTATGCTTTTCTGGCCTCAGTAAAAATTCTAGGTGACTACTAGTCTAGTCTGTTTTGTATTTATATGTGTTTAATAGGAACGCCATGTATCATTTCTCAAGATTTGTTCTTTACGAATGTAATGTCAAGTCCACAATTTAAAACTGTGTAAAAACTTAACAACAACAGAAATGAAAGAGATCTTGATTATATTATTATAAATAAAAATTATACTTGAAAATATTTTTGATATACTATTCGCAGGCCTAGTCTTTACATATCAAAAATATTGTTTGTGTCAAAGTAGTGATATTCATTACAGAATAACCAAAAGTTACATTTTCTGTCAATAAATATTTTTATACAAAGAAGTCAGACTTATCGCAGTTGGTCTATATAAAGAGTGTCTGAAGGCAGCCTAAAATTATTATTTTCTACGAGCTACATTATCTTTGGTGAAAAAAAAATTAATTTGTCAATGTCAAGTTCAAATAAAATAAAAGTTTTTTGTTGTTTTGATTGCATCTCGAGGTTTCGTTTTTACTACAAAGAAAATAGATTTAAAAATCTTAATATATATATATATATATTTATTTATTACACGAATAGAGGGAGTTTCAAAAATTCCCAGTGTTCTTCGCGACGGCGGGAACTTCGCATTAGCCGGGTAAATTTAGCTTTAGGCGGGAAGTGGAGTCACCTTTCTGGCTTTTATTAAAGAGCAGCTGGATTGTAGTATAAAAGTTTAAACGTCTTCAGGCTCTAGTATGGCTATGTGTAATACCAGTAGTGATTCTAGCCCTAAACGAAAAGTATCTAAAGAACTTGCAAGTAGTGATTTGAATAAAATGAACAGTCCACCTCTCAAAGATTTACGAATGTATCCGTGGAACTGGGGCGAAAGCGCAAGTGAGATTCAGCTTAGCCCTGGTAGTGGTACGTCGTATTCTTCCGAAGCCGAGCTTTTAAATTCATCTCCAGATGATAGTGTTGGTCTGTCGACAAACAGCAGCAACCAAAAGCAGAAAGAGTCTGGTCGGCGTGGAAGACCAAAATTAGATTCACTAACCAATCTTATACTCGAAGGATCATCGTCTAAAAGTTCTATTAGATGTAATGTATGTAACAGGGTATTTCCTCGTGGGAAGTCTCTTCAAGCTCATATGCGGACACACACAGGTTAGCACTAGCAGAACTCACTACGGTACAGTACAATTTTAAAATAAAAATTAGTAAAAGTTTTAATTATATTGCCAATAACAAAAATATTAACTTAATGATAGTGTTAACACTTTAAACTTTGTAAGTTAAAACAACAATAACACTAACTAACAGGGAAAGCTCATCACCATACTGAATATTGGCTGATATAGTGCTAATATGTTGTGCTTTACAGTGAGTATACTGAAATATAAAAGGATTGTGCATTACTAACATGCTACAGCTTGTTTCACGATAGTTTTCTACTTAAAATCAGTGAAAGAGATTAACATTGTCATATTAATACTATTGGTATGCTTCATCGTATCTCATATATATTTTTATTTTTTGTTATTTTACTTCTACCTAAGATCTTGATTAACAAGATAATAGACATGTAAAGCACCATCATAATAGCTGTTTGGGTCAGAGAATTATTTATCTTCTTAACCATTACTTTTAGTTAAGGTGTGTTTCAAAAACTTATTGCTGTACTAAATGCTCTGCTGTGCACATTTTTCTACTTCCATGGGAGATATTGAAGGTTCTTTGGTTCAAAATGTTTTTCATTGTTCAACAGATTCTAGATGAATATCTTTCCTTGCAAAGGACCATGATACGTTATTTCAACTCTAAGTCTATCCATGATGGTACTGCACTGTGAAATAGTTGCTAAGTTTGTTGTTATTACCATGGCTCACATATATGTCAACCTGCCATTGTATTTGAATATGCAGATCATACATATGTGCAAATAGCTCTGTAGAGTACATATCTATAACTTTCATAATGTAAATTTGTAATATTTTAGGTGAGCGACCCTATGTATGTAAATTTCTCAACTGTGGGAAAGCCTTTGCACAGAGTGGTCAACTGAAAACACATCAACGACTGCACACTGGTGAAAAACCATTTTGTTGTTCTGTAGTAGGTAAGAGCGAAGGACCAAGATAGAAAAATTTAACATTTTCAATTAAACAAATCCAATTATTACCAATAATAATAACATTTTATTATGTGAACATCTTCATATGTCATTGAAAATTTACTTATTAATAGTTCAGAGAAAAAAACGGACCAACTGTTAATTTGCTAACAATCTAAAGCTTGTAATGTTCAGAAGGCAACTTTTTTACTGAGATTTAAATTTCTTTAAAAAATGTTTCAATTCAATAAAAACACTAATTACGGTTTTCCTTTAATCTCACCTGTTTAAACTGGCAGTGTGAGATATTAATTCTTTAAAGTTTCATGTGTTCAGAAGACACCATTAGAAGTGCATATTCTTTATGTTTATTTTATTTTATAACAGTGTATCAGAATTTTATGTTTTGAGAAAAAACGTTAAGTGAAATTTTAGACAACTTCGTTGTTTCTCCTGAAAAAAACTGAAATCTTGATAATGAAAATGATAGAATAATTCATGGTTTTTAAGAACAATGATGATTTCTTTTTTTATTCTCATGCTTAAATGTAATTATGCAGTAAAGAAAATATTATATAAATCTAAGTCTAGCTTTGTTAGACTCATTGCTTCTTATTTTGTTCTTTTTTTTACCCCCATTTCATGATAAATTAAAATTGCATTTGTTTAGGAGATGATTTTTTAAAATACTGAAGTTCTCTTTTTTTAGGTTGTACCAGCCGGTTTACTCATGCCAATCGCCACTGTTCGCATCACCCATGGGCAGTACTTCAGAGAGAACAATCTACTCCCCAACAACTGAGAACACCAGTACCCTTTAATGATGAAAACAGTTGCAAGCAAGAATTTAGGTAGTTTTAGATATTTCAACATAAACAAACCAAGTTTTCTACTCGCTTACAGTTCTATACTACTTTAAAAAAGTTATGCTTCTTTCTTGTTTGCAGATTGATCCATCAAAACCTTAAAATAATTCACATCATCACTATATACTACTCTTTGCATGCAATCATAAATTGATAACTTTTTTTTTTTTGCCACTAATAGAGGTAATACAGTGTAAATTTGGGAGCAGTTACAGCTTTTGGGCACAAAATATTCCATATAACATAATATTTAAAAGTATCTATTAATTTTTTTGCTTTGAGCACCACCTACAACCCTCAGCTCAAAGTTTCTGTGCATGGAAACTTGCCTCATTTACGCTTGATTATTACTTCCCAAGTTAATTTTCTGTGTTACCCTCTAACTAATGAAAATTATAAAAATGAAATGTTAATATATTTTTATTGTGAAGTTCTTTCCGTGTATGTCATAGGTAGGATGCAAGTTTCATTCACTTTAGTTGGAAATTAAATCCTATTCTTAAATTTTGAGTGACAAGTATTTTTAGCAAATAGAGAAAGAAAAGGGTTATGTTTTTTCATGTTAACTGTCAAAGGTGCTTTAATTTTTACAGAAATAAGCGATATGTGAATGGAAACGTCCACCTTCGACAGAGGAAGTTTCAAGAAGAACTTGAAGAAGCATCGATCAGTGATGATACCTCTGTCAAAACAATTGTACCAGAAATGGAGGTTCTTTCAAATGAACACAAGGCCAAGTTGTTGGGTGCTTTAGCCTTATTAGAACTTGCTCGTGCACCAGTGACTCAACAAAACAGTTGTTCAGTGAATATTGAATCATCAAAATGATTTTAAAATTCCCAGCATTTTAACTTGCATTTGTGTACATGGTTGCAGATTTGTATGATGTATATCAGTTTGTAGATAGTTTTATATATAATTGTATATTCTTATGAGTAGGCCCAAAATCAGGACTATAGCATTTATGCTTTGTAATTTTTAGTTTTACAAAGTTTTTAATTATAATAGACATGTTCTGTCTATTTCTTTAACCAAATGCTGTTTATTATAAATTAAAACTTAGATTTTCTTAATTTTATACAACTACAGATTTTACTAGCTGCAAATTTAAAATTATCAACTTACAACATTTGTAGCATTACTAAATCCTTTCATTTAATATATTTTTTCAACCATAAAAATAGCATTTTACAGAATAATGTGTGAGTTATATAAATGCATAACTTACAAGTAGTAATTTCACAAAATTAGCATATTTTTCCAATTCCCTGAAAATGAGCAACATCATGCAAAATGTACAAAACACTGATTAAAGCTGTCGTTTAAACTACAGATCTCTTCTTTTGTTATTGTTATCTTTTAATGTTACTTAATATATAGCTTTTATTATTTTATAAATATGTATCATAAATGAAAATCAAATCGAGAATCTAATAAATTTTTACTGTCTTATTTTTAATACTTTGCTGGTTAATCTGCAGTGAAAAAGGCTAAACTTTTAATTTTACTATACCTACCTGTTTTAATATATCTATTAAGAAGCAAGTACATCTTATTTTTTAAATAAAATAACAATTTTTTTAGACCAGTAAGCAAAGTTTGACCGCTATAAAAAAAAACCAGAAGTTATAAAGAAAGGTGTTTTATATATTGCTTGAAATTGAATTACAAGACCATAAAATTTCATCCAGTTAAAACTTTTTGAAAACAAATTTTAAAATAGTCCACTTAGTTTCAACTATAAGAAATATTGAAAGTATTTCCTTTCTATAATGCTGCATAATTACAATACTTTGGGAAATGTATTTTTTTGGAAAGTTATTTCCCCAAACTTCTAAAAGAAGTAGAACCAACACAAATAAGATTTATGGGCAAATTCACTCAAACAAGTCATATAGAAAAATCAAATGAATGGATAACAGTACTGGTATATATCTTCACAATAATATTTCAGGAAAAGTAAACTTCTTGTTCATAAACAAATGTACTGCTTTATGGTTAGGTTATCTAGAAACTGCAAAATAGCACTAATACTTTAACCTAGAATTCTAAAGAAAACCAAGACTAAACCTTTTAATGTTTGACATAATATGATTTATAATGCCTTACCTAGCAAAGTATTAATCATTATTAATACTTGATATGTATGATATTACAAACCATATAAGACTAATTATTTTAATTATATCATTCTTTACTGGCCCAATATAAGTTTTTAGAAAGAAGATAGTATGTTTTACATGCAAGCTTTAATAGCAGCACATGTGACAACCAAAATGTAATAGAAGAACCATTAGACATTCTCCTTGCTGAAAAGTTATATTGGCTTAGTGTGTTTGACTTAACTAAAATTATGTATCTTATTGTGATGTAATATCAACCATTACCCATTAAGATTATTATTCTCCAAATGTTTTATTTCTTTATATATATATATATATATATATATTGCTTTTATTAAGGTCTGTTACAGAATTGTGTTATGTGGTTTGAAGGTATGATATCACGGTGTTTTTCATATAATTTTAAAAGAATTTCAGCCAAATGTTCGTGTGAGGAAGTACTTTCTGTGAAATCAAGCTTAATAGTTGAATAAAAGTTTAATTTATAAAATGTTTAGTGATTTGTGTTTTTTTTTTAACATGACACTTTATAATAAAGAGCGAGTTGATTTCAGGTATCAAACCACTGTATTTATTCATCAAATTTGTTATTGCCTTTGTCTTGAACAGAAATTCCATTGTTACAATGAAATATTAATGACTTCAGTTGTCATTGTACCAAAGAAGCTGGCTGTAAGTTAATGAGACATTTCTTTAAAGTTTGACTTACTATATACAATCCTTAAGAACATATTTGCAGACTCCTGACTGAGAATACCATGTACTCATGAGCAAGAAACGATTTTGATGTCAATAATAACCATCAAATTCTCACAGTCTTTATATATTATGGTTTTTAAACTAGTTTCAGTGTGTATCTATTTCTATAAAGATAGTACACTGTTTTTCTGAAGGTATCGGTAATGCCTTCTCAAACTAAATCCATTCAAAATATCTTGCACTACTCTTAATGAAAAACTTTCCTCTCAGATGTAGCCTGAGTTTCTTATCTCGAGAAAAATTCACTTCCTGATGAATATTTCAATGACAAAACTGAAACATTCTCTCACAAGTACTAAACAAAAATAACTGATGCACTGTATCTAAATAATACCTAATGGTCAACCTCGTATCACAAACTTAACATTCAGATGAAATCCTTTGTTACCATACACATTTTGCTTACTGTTTTATTTTTTGTGTGATTGATCCACTTGATCTATTAATGAACGATTATGTAATGTTCATACACGTGCTTATATATGTATGTTGCCATATTTATATATTACACACTGTTCACATACTTTAGTAGCTTATAACTGACTGTTTCTAGCTCCCACACAGATTACTCCAGAAACCTTGGGTTATTTTCTGTAGTTATATCAGTTGCTGTGGTTCTGTAATGTGTTGCCATATATACACCTGGAAAAAAGTTAAGCACCCCCAAATATTTTTAAGGATTGCTTATTGAAAATAAGGTTTAATTTTCATGATGTTGAGCAATGTTCATAATTTCAAACATAA